AAAAACTTTTCGTCAATGGGTGTCGAAGTTATGTCCTCTCTAACCAAGACAAGATATGCCGGCCACGGTGTCCAATGCGTGAAGACCACGCAAGTTTGTACGCTTCAAAAATGCGTTTTCTATATTTACCGATGTCCCCTCAATCAATATTAGAGCTGAGAGATGGAAATACGTAGTGAGATAATCATGGTGAGCAATATTAGTGCCTCAGACAGGCTTGCTGACGTTTAGATCAGAGGACCTATCTTTGTAAAAGGCGCCTTGTCATTCTTGGCTTGTAAGTTTGAGGAGGGGACTAGTACTGACGTAATATCCTGGTGGTGGCACGTGGCCTATTGGTAATCGTAATTTCAGGGCGTTAGCTGTCAAAAGGCACACGCGCCACTATTAGAAAATGAGGTCACTACTAATCCCTTTAAAACTAACACGCCAAGGATTACAGGCACCTTTGACCAAGATAGGTCCTCTTATCGAAGCGTCGGCCAGCCTGTCTGAGACACTTCCACTGTTCACCCTGATTATCCCATATCCACTCAAATGCGTTCTCGGTAAAGTGCCGTCATCAATCATGGACATCGCATCCGCATTAGTTCCCTCATTGCGTCATTTCTCATTGTCTATCTCATACGGTGCGTTTCCGATAAGAGAAGCGTCACGCCTTTACACTAAGCGTTGGCATCACTGATAGCATTCATTGATAGCAAAAATAAAACAGACACACATCTCTCCGTGAAGTACCTTGTTTTTTTATCTAGCGGCCGTGCTACGCTGTGTGTGGGAGAAAAGAGTGAGTGCTTTCATTATAAATCGCAGCGCACTGCGGATAGTGGTCCCCGCTCATACCAGAGCCCGCACCTGGCTGGAGCGAGCGTTTCAATTTCAATTCAATTTAATTTTATTTACCAGAAAACAATCTGGAGGGACACCTGGGCTTAAATTTGTCCCAGCAGCTTGACGAAGGCCCAGGGTCACTTACATGGCAATAGCACATATATGACACATGTCAACAAGTGTTTTTACATGACATTAACATCGAAAGCATTATACATACAGATCAGGATAGATCACACGTACGCATAAAATGTAACAATGACACTTCGTACAAGAGTGAAGGGTAATCCGTTATTATAAACATAAAAAGTGGTCGCGCAGATGTTTTTTTTTATTTATTGTGGTTGTGTGTTTGTACCGGTTTAGTATGGTCGGAATATTATGAGCGATTGATTGCAGGCTGTAGTTGTTCCGGGACCAAAGCACCTTCCATATATCAGGATTGCGTGTGTGTTTCCAGAGTCATCTGAAACGATTAACCCCTTGTATTATACAGAGCAGCGTAGCGTATCTAATCATCTCCACTTATACCACATAGCGCGCCCATGTGAAGAGAGCGCTGTACCGCAGAGCCATCTAGTGGGTGCTCCGATTACTAGCGTGGATATATGACAGGGCCGGGCTAGAGAAGCGGAAACCGTGGAATCTTCTATGAGGGCGGACAAGAGACAAGCCCCGACCATAAGCTGCTTCGCATCTAAATTATCTATGCGACGCGCGCCTCCTTCATCTGGCCTTGCGTTCCGCACATACGCTCGCCCACCGAATAATCACCCCTGTCCAAAGAGACGTCACGATAGGCATTGCGTTTCCCTCTGGTTGGGCAGTAGCGTTTGCTCATTCCAGCATGCTGCTAGTCGGTGTCGTTAGCTCAACTTCGGCGACCAATCAGTCACACTCTTCTGGCTGTCACTTCGCTTTCTATGGTTCGGCTCTCACCATTTTTTCCCATTGATTATCATGTAAGGAGATGTTGGTGCACCAATAGGGCACCAGCTTATCGTTGAAAAGTTACCAATAACAAAGTTCACGGATTGTCCAAGTCTCCAAGCGCAGCAAGCCCACAGCCCTTACAATATACAATTTAACATATCACGTTTAGCATATACAACGTACTCAACAATCACGTATACGTGCATATATGATGATTGTTAACGAATTGAACAGAACCCACTGCGCACAGTCAAACAGTCGTGTAATTGTCAACATGACAGTCAGATACTGATCACAAAAGTCCATAGTCCCATAAATATGCACAGTTATTTACAAAAAAAAAAAACTGAAGTACAGTGTAATATTGGCCAAGAATGCCACTGGCTTCAGAAAACATTCAACGCGATAGCGTTAAAGAGCTTGTGTCGCAGAAAACCCGTTGCCGGTGTTGGCCCCGCTAGTTGTGAGCGAAGAACCGTCTGTGCATCTGTTACTGAAAAATCAAGTGGCCGAGATAGCCGCGAGAGGCCGCTACTGGTCCACGCGTGCATGCGCGATCACACTGACAAAGCCGCGCATTCAAAAAAAAGTGCTCAAGTTCACGAGGCGTGGTAGTTTCTTCGCCCTGCCACCCCTCCCTGCTTAGCTTCCAGTGCTTTCGTCTGGACGAGAGAAAAGATAACGCAACTGCAGCATGCGCAAACCTTTGTAACTCCACTCGCACTGGACGGATTCTTAAAATTTTTCCGGTGTTAAAATTGTGAGGAAATAGGCTCTTCCACTAAGTTCATGTTTAGGTTACTTGAAAAAGTGTTTCGGGGCCAATTTAACGCATTTTCTTCGGCAGATATCCCGATGAAAACGAGCCCATTGGGCGATTATGGCGTGCACTGGTCTAATCTACTGTGTTCGTGTTTGAGTGCGTGCGTGTGTATGTAACAAAGCACATGAATAAGTATGCACTTAGTGGTTGAAGGGTTCACTATAGGGACTGGATTTCGCTATCGCGTTCAACTTTTAAGGGCGAAGCTTAAGGGTCCTCCCATTTTTCAACGCTTTTACGGCGCACTTCTGTAAACCTCTTGTCGGCCACGGGCCCAAACGCTTCCTTAAGCTGAAGGGTCCATGGTCTTAGGTTAATAAGAATGATATAAGTCAGCGTCTTGGTGTTTCATGTTGTGGACACTCTAGAAGGAGGTGATATATGTCTTCATCTACAAAAGTTAAATCGCATTCTGGAGTTTCAGCGCGTTAACTAACACAGCTACCGCAAGCAACTCTGACCAAAAGGGCTTCGTTATTCAATTATGATTGACGTTATCCATCGAAATGGAGATATATGACTAAGCGTCAAACAGGGATGCGGGTGCGGCTATAACTATCAAGTACCTGTTGACAGTGCAACAGCTCTCCTATATATCATAGGACAGTAAACAGTAAATCACCTCTGTAAGGACACGTTAAGCTTTTGTGTTTTAGCGATTCCTGTAATGAAGAGATCAATCCTGTTTTCTTTCTTTGAAATACGCCTTAAGATTCTCATTCACCATGTTGCAGCACGATACGATTTCACTAATGAAGGTTCTACACACGTTGAGATAATGGCGAGTTTGAGAATATTTATGTGCGCACTATCATAAGAAAAATGCTCTTACGTGCACACGGCGAGTACAGTCATCAAGCATGATCTCCCTCTAATGACAGTTTTTCGCTCAAACAACAGCAGCTTACCGTCGCTTTTGAGTTCCTGTGTAATAGCTAAACCCTTGCGATTGCAAGGGAAGCTGGTTACAATAACGGTTTCTACGATAGAGCCTTAGTGGTTAGTTTTGATAAGATTATCTAATCACAAGGAATTATTAGCCGCTCAGCTGTGACTTTGCTTAGTGTATACGTGACCGGTCTGAGGAACCAGTGGAGAAAATTACGCAGCAACCAGAACAGCGGGAAGAAAGACGATGGGGGGTGAAGGGGGGGACATAACATTACGAAAAGCCGTTAACTTCGGATCCAACCGGACAGCCACCCCTGAACAAGGGACCAAGTCGGTCCTGCGATATCACGCCGGTTTTAGCTTTTAATTTTAACATTAACACGGGAGACTGAAACAAAAAAAATCTGAACCTCGTCAATGTCTGAAAAAAGCCCTGGAGTGTGGTCAACAAAAGATAAAACGGCTGATTCCACATACGAGTCAGTGGGCACACCCTTTTTTGTTTCAATAAACAGCTTATTTTTGACTGAGAATAAAGCAGATAATCTATAGAAGAGGCAAAAGAAGCACAGCATATCCATGGAGTGAATGATGATGAGTGGGCGAAGCGTCCCTTCGTTTTTTGTCCGTGCGTCCATTCATCCGTGCATGCGTCTGATCGCATTCGAGAATGCAGACAGCGCGCGGAAAACACCGACGAGACGCGAGCCACGGAAGCCGAGCGCAGGCGTCTTCAACGCGCCCGCCACTCTGCTCCGTCTGTGCTCCACCAACGTTCCGCCACCTACAGTGACTATCCAGGAGTCCGAGAGAGGCACTTGTTGGCAAAGCGCGCGCAGCAGCCAGTCGGAGAGTAGCGGCATTTCGGAGAGTAGCGGCCGAGTAATGCCATCAAGGAAATGATCCAAGAAATGGTCGACGAATTCTTTTGCCTTCTTTTTTATCTCGTCTCTTCTTCTCTCGGCTACACGTGACTAGTCAGAAGGTTAGGCTATAAAGAGCCTTGCCCCTAGCCCCTAAAAGTTTTCTGAGATATCCCAGCAGCATTGCAAAAAACTAACCGGCCATTTTCTTCGACGATCGTAATCGCACTACGAAATCATTCATCGTGCGCTCTTTCATTGTCACATGACGCGCATTTTGGGCGATCATAAAAGTGTAGAACATATATGGCAGAGACAAATCGCAGAAAAATATCTCTCTGAATATCTGAGACCTTGTGCGTTCATTTCTAAACCGTTGAACAAACAGGTACTGAATGTTGTAAAACTTTGGGTGTTTTGCTAGTTCATTATTTCAAAAAACTCAAATGGTAACTGTTTACATAATTATCAACGACAAAGACTTTCTTCTGTCATATGCTAGAATCTGAGTAAAGGTAATAGTGATTTCCGTAATTGTATTTTTATAAATTTCTACATATGTCGCGTGCAGCTCACCACTTATTATAGACGCGCGCGCAGCTAATTGTGGGAATATTGTTTGATTTTGTCGCGCCTGATCACATTTCTTGTCTTTACAGAGTTGTCGTACAGAAGGGTGTCCTAAGAACTGCAGATGTCCTGGTTGGCTCGCTCGAGTAACTCGATCAGACACATGTTATTGGCCTTGATTGCTTTCTTCATTCACCAACAATACATCCAATTGCTTGCTTTCTTCATTCACCAACAATACATCTGAAATAAATGTCAAGGAGGTATTTGTTGGCTACGACATTCGCAAGCATGCCTATAACGGGGCAATAAGAAGCTTGCCTTTCGGTACTACACTTTACTGACAGATTCCCGCTAATATTTCATCAAGACTAAGCTGTGGTTTTCTTCGTATTCTTTCAGAACAATAGATTGTGTGAACGCACAGTAACTGGGATTTTCTTGTGAAAAGTGATCCACAGCACTCTTGTTCATTTTCTTGTGATTAGCAACTTTAGTGCCCTTTCTGCTGTCATCAATTCGTTAATGTTGAAATGTGGTATATAACTATCATATAATTCTTACGTAAGATATAATGGCTACTAAACAAACATAAACACAGAAGTGCACAGTATAAACTGCTCTTTCTCGAAAAATTCTTATTATCTATCTGTTTTCGCCATAAAATGAGAAAATACTGTACTTACAAAGTATACAAAATAAAGTAATTACAATACCTGCTAAGTTTAACGAGGATAGCACAGATAAGAACATGACAGGACTGATGCTCGTTGCGTCGTGTTTTTCATTTTGCGGTCCTCGCCAAGTGCAGCACAAGAATATTTCAATTAGGGGTGTATCACTAAGCAGTACATGTGTGTGCCAGTCTCCCAATCACCGGTGGTGGCGCACTGGTGTTACTACCTCTAAAGCCCCTATACATTCGGAAAAGCACAGCGTTCTTTTGATCTGCGCCACTTCCGTCTGTCACCGGCTGGAAAGCAAACTGCAAGCTCGGAGGCCAAAGAGGAATAAAAAAAATTGCTGGAAGTGGAAAAGATGGTCCAGGAGTGAAGCCGTTCTTCTGGCAGGATTGCGGCTGTGGCAGCCATCTTACTAGGGAGCATGATAAAGTGTCACCGCTGTTTAGAAAAAGTGTTTAACGATTTAGAGTACATCGTACTCTACTATGGGAGTGCATAATGCCGTCCCGATTACCTAGCGCTGTTGTAGAGCGTAGGTCGTAGCACAAGCCGTTCAGCGATTAAAAACGAAGCGTTTCCTTCGCACGCCCAACGAGTTTAATGTGGAAACTTTTTCGGGTAACATAGTGCTCCGAGTGTGTCTTACAGTTACTAGTTTTCCTTAGTGAGCCTCTAGTTGGAGGCAAAGTTCTTTGAACATTCAGTCATCCATACTCGTTTCTGTGTGTTATTTCGTCGGGAACAACTACCTTTTAATATAGTACTAACGTAGCATCTACATAACATATCAAAACCACTTGATCTTTAAGTGGGTACTATCAGAGAAGAGCATGTTTCCGCCACCTTGGCTGTGGCAAAAGGTGGCTTCAGTTCTGCTGGCAAGGCATTGCGGGAGCTTCCACTCCAGCAATTTTTTTTACTCCTCCTGGCTCGTGGCGCGTTACAGGGGGCGCGACTATTGCAAGCTAAAAAAAAAAGCAACGCGCCGGTGAGGAGGTGGCGAGGGTAGAGCAGATGGCGGTACTGTTACTAAGTAAAGGGGTTTTAACAGCCTTCAGCGGTGGCGTGTCCTCGGCACGGGTTTGATCGCATTGGTGGCAGCGCAGTGTAAGGGGGGGGGAGGAGGTCGATTTAACATTCATTTGCCTTGTGCATTTAGAAAAAAACTAGTTTTTACGAAAGGGCATAGCGGTGAATTCGATGGCATCATGACGTCATGTTATAACTAATTAGGGGCAGAATATAACTTTTTTATTCGATCTCACGAAACCGCAAATCGTAGGTGTAAGAAAATGCGGCCACTTTAAAGAAAGATGCGTTTTAAGTGTGAATACACTTTATAAGCGACCCCAAACCATCCACCGCCGTCGGCGGCGTCCGCAGTCTTCTCTCTATCTTTAAAAGAAAGAGTACTTGGCGGGCCGCAGCACGACGCTCTACCGAATAGGCCACGGACGCGACGCTGATATCAATGTCAGTAACGCGCCTTATACCCCCTCCCCCTTCGCTCGCTCCTCCGCTCTCCTCGCTCGCTGCAGCTGCGCACGCACCCCTCTCTCTCGCGCGCCCGCCTTCTCTCTCAGTCTCCCGTCGAGAGCGGGTCGTGCGATGGATGTCCCGGAGGCAACGCTACCATCAACAACGAATGCAGTACAACCGAATGCCAGCACTGCACCCGTCGTTGGAGGTGACGGTACCGCGGTGGGTTCGCCGACGTTGGAAGACAAGGCGGCGCTGCGAAGGGCTCGTGAGACCGAACGTAAGCGGGCGAAGCGTGCAGCGGATGCCGAACTGCGTGCTCGCGAGGCGGAGTGCAAGCGGGCGAAGCGTGCAGCGGATGCTGAACTGCACGCTCGCGAGGCCGAGGACAAGCGGGCGAAGCGTGCAGAGGATGCCAAACTTCGTGCTCGTGAGGCCGAGGACAAGCAGGCGAAGTGTGCAGCGGATGGCGAACTGCGCGCTCGTGAGGCCGAGATGAGGCGTCAGCATCGAGCCGCGAACGCGGCCCAAGAAGCGGAACGACAACGCAAGCGTCAGGCGGAGAAGGGCGATGAAGGCCGGCGTCAAGACGACGAATTTTAACTTTACTCCCCCTCATAGCATCCCCCCGTGCATTCGCACTTAACCATGTTCCCCCTCGGGGAAATGCTTGGGAGTTTTTTTAGCGGCGAAGTTCCTTATAGCGGCACCCTTTCGTCCCTCGTAGTCGTAGTCATAGTGTGTAACCAGTCTTACGTTTTAACCTGCATGGTGGTGCCGGTGGAAGATTTCCCCTGTGCATTGTTGAACAATAAAAAAATTGTAGCGTGCGCGTTAACTAAAAGTCGATTTCTCCTGTCTCTTATTCCCCATTAGCAGCCATCAGCATGTACATTGAGCACTATCTGACAAGAAAGGGTTGCTACGTTATACTCGCTGGGCGTAACCTCCTTGGTTTTGGTAAGGTTTAGCGAAACTTGAGCCGCAGTGCCATGAATACAGTGAAGTAGTATATGCCATGAACTCAAGGTTGTTAAAGGTGGGAAGTAGGTACGAAGCGCGAGCCGTAAGAAAGAAAAAGCCGAATTCTCTTGTCTCTCATTCCCCATTAGCAGCCATTGGCATGTACATTGAGCACTATCTGACAAGAAAAGGTTGCTACGTTATACTCGCCGGGCGTAACCTCCTTGGTTTTAGAATGGTTTAGCGAGCGTTGGGCCGAAGTGCCATGAATACAGTGAACTAGTATATACCAAGAAGTCGAGGTGGTTAAAGGTGGGAAGTAGACACGAAGGGCGAGGCGTAAGAAAGTGTGCGTGTGCCGTCTGTCGTTTAGTCCTTGGAATGTCCGCTGGATGACGGTGCTTCTATATCGGGAATATATGATGAAAAGATGCGAGATGGGGGTACTTGGAGCGTTGAATAGAAGGACGAACGGACAAACAGACAGGTGCATGGACGGACTCACGGATGGCTGCACCGACGGATAGACGCATGGACGGATGCAGGGGTGGATGGATGGACGAACGCAGGGACGGATGCACAGATGGACATGCGGACGCACGGACTGGCGAATGGACGCATGGACGATCACACAGACGGACGCATGGACGGACGTAAGCAAGAACGAATAAACGGATGGATGCTTCGTCCCACTCTCCATCATTCACTCCGTGGATATGCTGCCATTTTTTTTCGTGCAGTTTATCGTGTCAGTGATCAAAGCACGAAGCCGTGTGAACATAGTGCGTAGAAGATGTACGAGACGTTGCAGATTCCTGCCAACTTAGCGCGCTCGCCAGCACTTGCCAACGCGCCCTTATCGTCAATGTGCCCAATAGCGGCTCGAGCCGCACAGCCCCTCTCCCCTCACTGTTCCTTCATACTCCATTGTCGAGCGAACGATGAACAAAGAGCTAGCATTCTGGTTGAGAAGCAATAGACAACAGGCCTATCTCATGCGCTTGGGGAACACAAAGAGTCATAAATCTGCATTTTTAGATGTGAGACCCTGAGTCACATATAGGGCTTTCAGGCTGAGCTCACTTTTTAGTAGTTATGTCCGCTATACAGAAGACCAGTAGGTTCTCTCATGGGGTGTTGTTGTCTAAATTGCCCAATCATTCACTCAGTACCTGGCTTTTGAGTGAACACTGCCTCAATGACCAATAATACTTAACTTAAATCCGTGACAGTTTACGCTAATGTCTCCTGTTTTTGTTTAAGAAGAACAGAACGTTTATTAGCTCATTATAACTGCGATGACTCTTTCCAGACAGCTTAGCTGTGGCGTCTAGCATACTTAGGGTATTTCTTTGTTAGTATTGGCAGGATCAGGGTTCAATTCCAAATCATCCAACATCGTACCATTTTTGTGGCTAGCACGCATCCACACAGCAACTTAAATATGACCATTGAACACGGCCTGAGCAGCATGAAGACGTTGCTTGTACGCTTGCAGTAGAGGGAGGAAGTTTTACTAGCCTACACAGAAAGCACGAAAGGCCACTGCCCAGTGAACAAAGGTATTTCGTTGTCTTTATATCTTTTCGCGTCACTGTTGGCACCCGCAGTGTTCTCGACCAGCTGACGATGGAAGGAAAATGAACGTTGAAAAAATGATTGATGGCAAAGGGTGTTGAGACTCCGGGTTCCAAGGGTCTCATTCTGGTAGCGGGTCCCCGTCGTAGGACCTTTCGTCCAACAAGTCAGATGAGGCACTCGTGAGAATGACAACAATTTATCTACATGGCTAGTAGCTGAGAATTTGAAAGGAGATGATCAGGTGACCAAGTGTGAACTAGAAGTCAAGAACTTAAAATATACAAAAGGTATTCTGCTTATATAGCACCACGTTGCCAACCCTGGGTGCATTGTCCGAGGCTTCAGCCAATACGGCGATTGATGGTCTGGTGCTTCACCCACAAAGGCGGGGAAAGACACCACACAATGCACGTGGAGAAGGCACAGTCTGCACAATGCATAAATATGGTCACGAACGCACTGTACTAACGTTTCGCACAAGTCACCAAGATTTTGCGCACGTCCGATGATACTATATAACCTTGGTTTACAAGAACTCTTCTGGCAAAAAGGGTGAGGTT